TGTGCCAATTAATGTTATTGCAACTCTCCATTATATTCTACGTGTCCAACTGTGACCTACTTGACCAAGTGCTACCATTATAATCTCCAACTGCGACATATGTAGCAAATTGATGTTTTTGCAGCTCATCAGTATGACCAATGTGACTAACTACGGCCTATGTAGTTCCCTACTCATGTTGCTTCTAATTACGACCTCAGTGGCAAACTTATATTATTACAACTCCCCATTATGATCTGCATGACCAACTACAACCAAAGTGACCAACTGTTGTCATAACAACATCTAACTATGATCACTATGACCAACTGTTGCTATGACAGCTACCTTAGTATGGTCTATATGATCAACTATGGTATATGTGACTCACTACTCATGCAACATCCAACTATGATTTTGGTGGCCAGTTCATGCTATTGCAGCTTTCAACTACAATTTATGTAACCAACTATGACCTACATGGTTCATAACTCATGCAACCTCTAACTTTGACCTCTGCAGGTTGCATGTTATCGCACATCACTACTACGACCAATGTGACCAAGTACTACTTGTGTGAATCACAGCTCATGTAACTTTAAATTCTATACTTTGTAGCTTAAAAATGTTTACAACACACAATACAACCTTTGTGATCAAATACAACCTAAGTGGCTCAAAGCTCATTTAGCTTCTAAATATAGCATCTGTGATCTATAAATGTTATCATAGTTCACTATTTTTGCTTAAGTAATAAACTACGACCTCATGGCTCACAACTCATGAGCTCCTAACTTTAGATGTGGCCTATGATTTTTATCACAGCTCATCACTATGACTTATGTGACCAAATATGACATACATGACTCATAACTAATGTAGCTCTCATCTCTAATCTCTGTGGCATATGGATATTATTACAACTCCCTAATACAACCAACATGGCCAATTGTCGTCATTATAGCCTATCATTGTGGCCCTTGTGGCTAGTTGATGCTACTACTGCTCACCACTAAGACCAACATAGACAACTGCCATCATTATAGTCTTCCATTATGACCTTTGTTGCCAACATATGCTCCAACTACCAATGATGGCTTATATGGCCAACTACTGTTGTGGCTTTTAACTACGGCCTGTATGACAATTAGAGGCTATCACAACCACCATCTATAATTTATGTGGTAGAAAATTGCTTTTATAGCAATCCGCAGCAGCCATTGTAGCCCACTATTGCTATTATCACCGAGAACTATATTTTTTGTAGCCCATATACAGAAGCTTGACCACTATTATGCTTAAGCAATTTCATTTTTTCTAATTTAAGAGAAGAGTTGACTTTTACACTAATAATTATATAGTGTATTACTTCAACTAGGCTAGGCCATGTGATTTTTCTCTCTCTAAGGTTTTTCATGTAAAAAATGTTATGTCTCCTTCTATTACTTCTCAATTATCTGTATGTGTGTGTGTGTGCGCTAGATTTTCGTGCAATACTGAGACGTTCATTTATTACTCTACCATCGTGAATCTTCTGACACACAATAGTTATAATTAAAAAAACTCTCTTATATCATCCATTGTTACATTAATTTCAAGAGAAATAAGTTAGGATTAAGGCTAATCTTGGTTAAAGCTTTTAAGGAATTTTTTGTTAACAACTCATGCACAATTACAATTGGTTTCCTTCTCTCATATTTTTTATGCATTCAAAATGAAATTGTTGATAACTACTTTCTTAAACTCTTTATGAACAATACAATTTTTATAAGTTTATATGAACTTGTAATATGCGATATAGTTCCTTGTTGAAATTTTATTTCTTAGGCTAAGTTACATCTACAACCCAAAATTTTATAAGTAGTCTTAAAATAGATAAATATTTTACTTTTGATTCAAGAAATATATGATATGTTTTCATCTTTATGAAGTTATAATTAATTCTCAGAAATATCTCTTCCATCTATTCAAAAATTTATTAGGATGGATGATGATGATGATAATGATGAAGCACAAGTAGAGCTACAAAGGAATGAATAAACTTGAGTAGTTTTTAGTGGCATGGTAGAATGATTGATATCAAAGGGATATATCTTCATAACTCTAGAAACTGATGATAGGGTGGTACGAGCAGAAGAAAAAAACTATGAGTGAAACAATCAATGAGAGGACTATTAAGAGTAACATCTAGAGTGTTAGAAGTAAATGGCATTAATGACGAATCAACCTAGCTCAAATTTTGTTGTTAGCCGTCTTATTAAAAATTTTGGATGAGTCTACATAAATAATTAACCAACGAAGGTAACAACTATGCTCTTCAATTTTAGGTGTTGGAGAAGAATTAGTATTAGTTAGGAGGTCAAAGAGTTATATTTATGTTGAGTTGTATATGAGGAGTGACATATGGAATGGTAAATACACTTTTAAAATATTGATATTATAGGAGGAAAACAATCTATATTCGCCATACCATGTTAATTTTTTTGACATTCTAATATTTAATTATTCATTAATTTTTGAAATTTTAGGTGTTATCTTTTGTGCTTTAGAATTCAAAGTAATAAAGTGCATGCAATTGACATGTGAGATAATAATGATTTAGTGTGAGTCTATGATGCATCTAATGTAATTACTCAAAAGCATGAGCTGTCCTCTTTTCAAGATAATGCAAATTGAGAGCAAAAGAATGTAGTTTAATAGCAATAGAGATTTGACAAGATAATGCTTTACCATGCATGATCATTTGGATGATTATAAAAAAGAGTTATACTCAAATACAAGTTTCATCTTATTGCAAGAAGGATCACATGGAAAGAGTTGAATGATACATGAACCGAACTCTTATGCGGTGATATCTTTCTCAACTTTTTGCAGATGCATGCATGGCTGAAGGTAGAATTATGTAGCTCAACTTTTGGACTTTTGAAGATTAAGCCAAATCAGTTTGGCAGCCTTCCCCACACGCAAGCATTTATTGTTATTACTATTAATTTATTCTATAAGCTTGGCAGGCCAAAACATAACGGAAAAATGAAAATTTAAATTCGCATGCTGCCAATATTTGTCCAGCGAAGCATATCAGATAAAAATGAAATTACAATGCCAATGGAGAGAATTGTTATTTTGTCATGCTGAAGTTCTTCGCTTTGGCTTAAATAGTGAATTTGATTTGGACGTTTTTTGCATTGAAAAGATTTACGTGGGAAAGTAGCTTACATCTGATCCGTTCAGTTCTCCAGCTGGTCCAACTGAATTTTGGAAAAAAATTGAGATAAGTTTGAAATTAAGGGTCCTTATAGGGCGGCTTATTTGGTGGGGTGCATTTTGGAAAAATGCATGAGGCATTTGGTTATTGCTGCACTGCAACTTATCCTAATAATTCATGTTAAACGCGACCGCGGGTTCGACCCAGTGGCCCGCATTTTTTGGTGTATGTAGTACCCCGCTACCCCTCTCGACCCCGTGCCTCTCTCGCTCGCGTCTTATCTGCCCTAGCTTTCTCTCACGCTTCTCTCAAGCCTCTCATTCGTTTCTCTCGCACTTCACTCGAGCCTCTCACGCGACTCTCTCTAGTGGTTGCCTTACTCTCTTCATTTTCCCTTCAATCTCTAGCTACCGTGCTCTGTACGTAATTCCTATGCTCATTTTCGGCCGAATGACTTTCTTTCTCATTTTGCAATTTGTTGTGAAAAGTTTGTGATATTTGCGATTTGTGACTTTCTGATTTCTCATTTGCGATTTTTGTTTTTCAATTTGTGATTTGAACCTTACCAAAAAAAGAAAATGTGGAATGTTGTTTTTATTTCCACTGATTTTTTAAGTGAGAATTTGGAGAATGGATGAAAGAGTCTGCTTGATTTGTAGATAAAAATGTTTCGGGTACTTTGTAATAAAACCAGATGAAATGTTGAATATGGGATGGCCTCCTATCATTGCCTCCACTTATTTTTTAGCGGGAATTTGAAAAATGAATTAAATAGGGTGCTTGATTTGTACATAGGATTGCTTCAGGTGCCTTGTATGTAATTGCCTAAAATCAAAATAACATACAATTTTTATTTTTTGTTTGAGCGAGAATTTGAAAAATGGATGAAAGAGGGTGCTTAATTTGTACATTACAACGTTTCGAGTGCCCTGTATTTAATTTCCTCAAATGAGAAATATGGGATGGGGTTTTATCACTGCATTTGATGTTCGAGTGAGAGAACATGTAACATGCAAAAAAAAACATATAAGCATACAAGTGAAAAGTCAACGTGGTCGTAGCGGTCGGTCAAACCTAAAGTGGGTCGATTGATCGAGACAATTGATCAGACCTAAAAGAGTGGGTGATCGGACCAAAACAACCTATCAAACCAAAAGTAATCGATAGATGGTACCCTGGTTGTCAATCGAGCCAAAGTGGTCAGGTAATCCTACCAGAGTGGCTGATCAAACCCAAAAGAACGGGTGATCGATCAAGGATGACTGGTCATACCTAAAGTGATTAGACCGAAACGGTCAAAAATACCCAATGTGATCCGACTATCTACTTTTATATATTCATCTATTATACAAAATGTATGAAAAAAAATAGAACAATCTTTTTAAAATTTTGAATTATGTAGGCGCATGCTAATTTTGTTAATGAAGATTTTAAATATTATATTGATTTTCTTGAGTTGAACTCCCTTCACATTAAGTTTATGTTTCCAAACTCAAGCTTTCTATATGTATGTATGTTGAATCCTGATCCATCCATGAATCATACCCAAGGAATATAACGTATGAGAGAGAGAATGAGATGAATGAACAGTAATGAACAGTAAATGACCTCTCTATGTACAGCGAATGGGGTACAATATAAAAAAAAATATTTTTGCTCCTGTTTTAAAAGGAGATTTACATAATATTTAAGGTAGTTTACATGTATATGTCTTCGGCTCAGCTGCTCATATCTCAGTCCGTTGAAATAAGCCGGTTTTGTTTGGCAAAACATCTTCATTCACTTACGTTGAATCAATGTTGCGAATCGGTCTTTGATGGTCTTCAGGTTTGCGAGACTTGACTTGATCGGCTTGATTTTGTCAGCTCTACTAATCTGGCTACCAACTATTGATTCTTGGATGAAAAATTCTTGTTAGTTGTATAAAATAAGACTATCGAACAGAAGTGAATCAGTTTATTATTAAAAAAATAATAATATATCTTTCTTGGAAAATTGTTCACGGTATTATTATTAAAAAAGATGATGAAAGTTAATATCTAATAAACTAAACAAGACGAAACTATTTAAAAAAAAAAACTAATAAACACTTATTACTTAAAGCAATGGTTCATTAGTATTAAAAATGCTTACTTCTAAGAATGTAGATTTAGACCACATTGCTAATATTTCTCATCATTTAGTTAAAAAGAAAAAAGAGAGAGAGAGAGAGAATTAATGACGTCCAGTGATAAAGGTAACCGGGCAGCCTTTCAGAATCGCATGCTGCTGTTTTCTGAGCTGGAATGATGCTCCATTGTCCTTACTCAAAAGATAGCCATTTCATTATCCGACTGTTAAACGGGGAGGACGACCCTTCAGCTTTAAATGGTACTGTCTGACGTGGTTAAAGATTAGATTAGCCGTTTTGATTTTTCTTCTAATGGGAGGCGGCTTGGTCCTCGTGAAAGCAAGCACGTTTCTCAGATATGCAGCCTCTCCCTTATTTTTCATTCCCCTGCAACACAAAGTTTGGCAATTGAGAATTATTATTAAATATAATATTTTCAAATTTTAGACTTTTATATATATATATATAT